CTATCATATAGTGTAGCAACACCCTGCTAATGTTCCTACTGTGTAACTATCATATAGAATAGTGTAGCAACACACTGCTAATGTTCCTACTGTGTAACTATCATATAGAATAGTGTAGCAACACACTGCTAATGTTCCTACTGTGTAACTATCATATAGAATAGTGTAGCAACACACTGCTAATGTTCCCACTATGTAACTATCATATAGAATAGTGTAGCAACACACTGCTAATGTTCCCACTATGTAACTATCATATAGTGTAGCAACACACTGCTAATGTTTCCACTATGTAACTATCATATAGTGTAGCAACACCCTGCTAATGTTCCCACTATGTAACTATCATATAGTGTAGCAACACACTGCTAATGTTCCCACTGTGTAACTATCATATAGTGTAGCAACACCCTGCTAATGTTCCCACTATGTAACTATCATATAGTGTAGCAACACACTGCTAATGTTCCCACTATGTAACTATCATATAGTGTAGCAACACCCTGCCAATGTTCCCACTATGTAACTATCATATAGTGTAGCAACACACTGCTAATGTTCCCACTATGTAACTATCATATAGTGTAGCAACACCCTGCTAATGTTCCCACTATGTAACTATCATATAGTGTAGCAACACACTGCTAATGTTCCCACTATGTAACTATCATATAGTGTAGCAACACCCTGCTAATGTTCCCACTATGTAACTATCATATAGTGTAGCAACACACTGCTAATGTTCCCACTGTGTAACTATCATATAGTGTAGCAACACCCTGCTAATGTTCCCACTATGTAACTATCATATAGTGTAGCAACACACTGCTAATGTTCCCACTATGTAACTATCATATAGTGTAGCAACACCCTGCTAATGTTCCCACTATGTAACTATCATATAGTGTAGCAACACACTGCTAATGTTCCCACTATGTAACTATCATATAGTGTAGCAACACCCTGCTAATGTTCCCACTATGTAACTATCATATAGTGTAGCAACACACCCTGCTAATGTTCCCACTATGTAACTATCATATAGTGTTAGCAACACCCTGCTAATGTTCCCACTATGTAACTATCATATAGTGTAGCAACACCCTGCTAATGTTCCCACTATGTAACTATCATATAGTGTAGCAACACCCTGCTAATGTTCCCACTATGTAACTATCATATAGTGTAGCAACACACTGCTAATGTTCCCACTGTGTAACTATCATATAGTGTAGCAACACCCTGCTAATGTTCCCACTATGTAACTATCATATAGTGTAGCAACACACTGCTAATGTTCCCACTATGTAACTATCATATAGTGTAGCAACACACTGCTAATGTTCCCACTATGTAACTATCATATAGTGTAGCAACACCCTGCTAATGTTCCCACTATGTAACTATCATATAGTGTAGCAACACCCTGCTAATGTTCCCACTATGTAACTATCATATAGTGTAGCAACACCCTGCTAATGTTCCCACTATGTAACTATCATATAGTGTAGCAACACCCTGCTAATGTTCCCACTATGTAACTATCATATAGTGTAGCAACACACTGCTAATGTTCCCACTATGTAACTATCATATAGTGTAGCAACACACTGCTAATGTTCCCACTGTGTAACTATCATACAGAATAGTGTAGCAATACCCTGCTAATGTTCCTACTGTGTAACTATCATATAGAATAGTGTAGCAACACCCTGCTAATGTTCCTACTGTGTAACTATCATATAGTGTAGCAACACACTGCAGATGAATTTACTCTCACGTAACAAAATAAGGTGAGGAGAGATGGGAGAGGAGAGTAACTTCCAGGACCCGCAACACAAACTTCACAAACAACTCGGTGGTCCATGTGTAATGTGTTTGTTTGGTTCGGCGAGGGTGTCTCCATGTATTTCTCTGTATCCTCTAGACTCCTCGTGTCTCTCTGTTTCTCTCTCTCTCTCTCTCTCTCTCTCTCTCTCTCTCTCTCTCTCTCTCTCTCTCTCTCTCTCTCTCTCTCTCTCTCTCTCTCTCTCTCTCTCTCTCTCTCTCTCTCTCTCTCTCTCTCTCTCCAAGAAATTGAAACATGTAAAGGACAGCAAGTAGTTTTATGGATCATTCTGATGGGACGTAATGTGTCTTGGAAAGGGGTAAAAAATACACATCTTCAGCAAGACTTTCTTTTGGACAGGTTTTTTCACTCATTGACAGAAGATGGCTCTTCCCAGGCGAAACGTCTCTCTACGTTTCTCTGTAATTCCGTCTTTTTTTCACCAACTTGTTGGCACTGTGGCATTTGTCTTCGCCCTATCTTGGAAAGCCTTAGGACGTTCAAACATCAACCACATACTCGCGAAACACTAAATAGCCTGGTCCAACAACTGGCTCCTCGAATTTAACCCCGCCAAATGCAGTCATGAAGATCGGGGAAGGGCATAGAAGACTGCAGACAGAGTATAGGCTAGGTGGCAGTTATGACTTTTGAAGCTGTCGTTTTCGTACTTCGTACTGTCGCATACTCGTTTCTGGTTCTTCGACTAATCTTGTGTGTGTGTGTGTGTGTGTCTTAAAAACCATGTCTCAGTCACCAGGTCTTAAAATCCATGTCTCAGTCACCAGGTCTTATAAACCATGTCTCAGTCACCAGGTGTTGAAAACCATGTCTCAGTCACCAGGTCTCAACCACCAGGTCTTAACACTAGGTTTTAGTCGACCTAGAGAATGTACAGAGAACTTTCACGGCGCGCATAACGGAGATAAAACACCTCAATTACTGGAAGCGCTTGAGGTTCCTAAACCTGTATTCCTTGGAACGCAGGAGGGAGAGATACATGATTATATACACCTGGAAAATCCTAGAGGGACTAGTACCGAACTTGCACACGAAAATCACTCACTACGAAAGCAAAAGACTTGGCAGACGATGCACCATCCCCCCAATGAAAAGCAGGGGTGTCACTAGCACGTTAAGAGACCATACAATAAGTGTCAGGGGCCCGAGACTGTTCAACTGCCTCCCAGCACACATAATGGGGATTACCAACAGACCCCTGGCAGTCTTCAAGCTGGCACTGGACAAGCACCTAAAGTCAGTTCCTGATCAGCCGGGCTGTGGCTCGTACGTTGGTTTGCGTGCAGCCAGCAGCAACAGCCTGGTTGATCAGGCTCTGATCCACCAGGAGGCCTGGTCACAGACCGGGCCGCGGGGGCGTTGACCCCCGGAACTCTCTCCAGGTAAACTCCAGGTAATTTACTGGCTCCCTTACCTTCGTGTGTTAGTGTAACTTGTAAATGGTCCAACTTGGACCATTTACAAGTTACACTCCCCTCTCCTATGTGTGGGTTATTTATGTATTCTATACATATAGACAAATACTTCCCTTACCAGAATTTCACCCCTCACCCAAGTTACCACTCTCCCCACTTCTCCGTCCCCTGGATGCAACTCTCCCTCTCTTACAGTAAGCAGAAGGCAAGACCCAGATGCATCTTAGAGTCAAATGAAAGTTTAAAAGTCTTGCCCGTGTGTGATGGAGTCGCCACAGAAGAAGAGCGAGATGCAGGTGAGAGGAACGGAAACGATAGCAGATTACTTCTTCTTTGTTTCGCTACCACGCCTGCTGATTCAGTCTCTGAAGAAACCTACTGTGTAGGCGAAACGTTTTAATCAGCAACAAAGGTTAGGTTAGGTAAGGTTTGTCAGGAAACGTAGCCATAGCGGAACCAGAGCTCACAGGAATGATAGCGAATGCTATATTTCCCGGTGGATACTACGTAGTGAGGAGGGAGAGAAGAGAAAATATATGTAGAATTTGAAGAGAAGAATAATCTCTGTATACAAATACCTCTTAATTCTTCATGGATAAACATACAAATGATTTTTCTCAAAAGATTAATTGTATTGATTTATTTTTTAAATTAAAATTGTATAGCTGAAGACTTTCTCACGATAGGGGTCGCGGCCCCCAATTTGAGAACTTCAGGTTTCGATGCAAATGATTGATTGTGGACTCTGAACGTACCCTCCAGCGACCATGATGTGTCTAATGACTCTAAACTCTATAATTACCAAGGGTGAGAATGCAAGTGTCGCAGCACGTGAGGATCACCCTTAATGATGCCCCCGGCATAAGATAATGCTTTCCTAAGAGACCAGTATGCAAATTAGGACATTCTCCTTTTGTTGGCGGCGTTAAATATGTGGCGGCTTTGCATAAGCCGGGGGAGGAAGCGGTCCATTGCTCCGTTGAGATGGAAATGGTACCTTCTGTTGGGGTAGTAGATAGGAGGACCGAGTCTGTTGCACCTTGGCAAGCAGTCGTTCCTGTCTCACTCATCCACTGCTGGACAAAGAGAGTGAACATAAGTGTATATACACAGAGAGGAGTGTGTGTGTGTGTGTGTACTCACCTAGTTGTGGTTGCAGGGGTCGAGTCACAGCGTGTGTGTGTGTGTGTGTGTGTACACTAAGACGTGCGTGTCTTTGTATATACACTGAGAGATGTGTGTGTGTGTGTGTGTGTGTGTGTGTGTGTGTGTGTGTGTGTACTCACCTATATGTACTCATCTATATTTGGTTGCAGGGTCACGTCATAGCTCATGACCCCGCCTCTTCGCTGGTCGATACTAGGTCACTCTCTCCCTCATAGCTCTGCTTAAAGCTATGTATGGATCTTGCCTCCACTACTTCATTCTCCAGATTATTCCACTTCCTGACAACTCTATGACTAAAGAAATACTTCCTAGCTTCCCTTTGGCTCATCTGAGTCTTCAACTTCCAATTGTGACCCCTTGTTTCTGTATTCCATCTCTGGAATATGTGTCTGTCCACCTTGTCAATTCGTCGCAGTATTTTGTATGTCGTTATGTCTCCCCTAACTCTCCTGTCCTCCAGTGTGTGTGTGTGTGTGTGTGTGTGTGTGTGTGTGTGGGTGGGTGGGTGTGTGTGTGTGGTGTATGCATGCATGCATTCTGTTACACTATCTTAAACTCAACTGTTTAAAATGTTAAGGTTGTTAGATAGTGGGTAGTGCTCTAAAGACAGCCTCTTCTCTCTCTCTCCCTCATTCCAGATTAAAAACTGTTTTTTTTTCCCGTGTGTTTCAGCGAACAAGCGCGACTACCAGCGTCATCCGGTGTTGGTGTACATCCATGGTGAATCCTACGAGTGGAACAGCGGTAACCCTTACGACGGGTCGGTGCTGGCCGCCTACGGTCGCGTTGTCGTCGTAACTGTCAACTTCCGGCTGGGTGTCCTCGGTAAGTCTCGCTGGTTAATTGTTAAGTTATTTTTTAAGTTGTTGGGAAGATGTTTCGCTCTAGAGCTTCATCAGGTTAATGATAAAGCTCCAAACAGAGTGAAACATTGCCTCGGTAAAACTTTTTTTTTCTGTTGTTGACAGTTTGCTATGAAGGTCTGTTGTTAGTTCTCAGTAGCAAGTGTTCAGTCTTTGCTCCAGGCAGGTACTGCTGACAGGTACTGCTGGCAGATACTGCTGACAGGTACTGCTGACAGGTACTGCTGGCAGGTACTGCTGACAGGTACTGCTGGCAGGTACTGCTGGTAGGTACTGCTGACAGGTACTGGTAGCAGGTACTGCTGGAAGGTACTGGTGGCAGGTACTGCTGGAAAGTTCTTCGAGTCCAGCGCTCGAGATAACCTCAATGTTTCTCTCAGTCGCGAGTTCGGCAGAAATTCGTAACATTCAACTTTTTCTTGTCCTTGTTTTTTCAGTGTGTTAGTGGATGTTGGGTTAGGTAAGGTTGGTCAGGAAACAGGACAAGTGTTTGCTGACGCGGGTCTTAGATGATGACCCGCCGTTTTTCGTTCTGAACTCATTATTTTTCGAAGTACAAATGTATCTTGGTTCCACCGGGAAATTTACCCCCCCCCTCTCTCTCTCTCTCTCTCTCTCTCTCTCTCTGTCTCTGTCTCTGTCTCTGTCTCTGTCTCTGTCTCTCTCTCTCTCTCTCTCTCTCTCTCTCTCTCTCTCTCTCTCTCTCTCTCTCATTCGTTCATTCAGCCTTCAGTAGCCTGGCTCATTTTTAACATGACTTGTTACCCGCTGACAACTGTTTGATTCTTCTGACGTTACTTCTAGCAGATCGTCCAGACTAAGTTCAGATTATTATATTTAAAACTCTCTCTAAAACAAAGTAAGATTTAAGCAAGTAAATTTGTCTGCCCACTCTAAAGGATTACATAATACTAAGGGAGAAATTCATTTTTATCTTAGACATCTCTGACATTAATCAAGAAATCACATCATCTTAAAAATCCATCGTTGGCTGGTGTCTCAATGTTTTTTTTTCTTTTTATTTGCCATGAGGATCACGGTGACAGCCTCCACAGGTGAGGCTTCACCTGGGGGACGACAGGCGAGGAGAGGAGATGAATGGGAGAGGTCCAGAACACCTCCCAGGTCGCCCACAACGTACGTGATGTGGGCGACAAAACTCTCACTGGGCTCATTTTTTGCACTCGTTGTCGTTTCGTTCCTTGTAGAAACGACACTTGCTTTTATTTGGAGGATGGGGGGACGGCATTGTTTATCCCCTGTAGAGCTTCTTAAGGGTGTTGTAGGGCGAAATGTTGTCCTGATAAATCTTGCTGCGCAACGCTCACGTAAAGCCGTAGTAGAGCTTACTTCTTAAGGACGAAACGTCGTCCTCATACATCTTACTGTCCGACACGAGATTGTTGCATGGTACAATTGTACAATAATATACAAGTGTTCATTTTCCAACATTGTTCCATAGTTTGTATATATTGATATGCCTTGTATACATAGTATCCTGTGTATATTGTATGTCATATAAATCATGGTATACACGGAAAGCAATCTCTCTGAATGTATATACTCCGAGGTGTATATACATTCAGACATGTATATACATATACATGTCGTGCCGAATAGGTAAAACTTGCTATTTTTGGCTTAAATAGCAACGCTCTTCTTGCCGAATAAGGCAAGTGGAAATTTGTGTATGCAATAATTTCACAAAAATCATTCTGAACCTAACGAAAAAAATATATTTCATTGTGTTTGCTTATTATTAAATTATTTTAAACTTATCTAAAATATATTTAGTTGGATTAGACTAAATTAAATTGCGCTTGTTATAATAAGATCAGGTAAGTTTTCTAAGGTTCTTTTGGTACAAAATTATTAACTTTTACACCAACATAAATGAAAAATATATATTTTTAAACGTATAAGAGAAATTTTTAGAAAGGACTTAATTTTAAACGAGTTTTTGTTAATTGACCGATTTTACCTATTCGGTATATATATATCTACATATATTATATATATATATATATATATATATATATTATATATATATTTATATTATATATATATATACCGAGAGGTGTATATACACTGTAAACTAGACAGCTTAGTTGACTAGACAGCCTGATTGACAGGTAAGTTCCAGACACAGCCTGTCATCTTGACCACAGATATGACACTGTTGCAAAAACAGTCAAATGGGTGACTGTTGACAGATCCTTGAACAGTGGAAACAGTCTGGTCCTGAGTTAGGAAATTAAATCAATAATAAATAGATATAACTACGTAGCAGATAATTTATTAATTCGATTGTGTAAATAACGTCGAATTTTGAGTTTAACACTTATTGTGGGAGTAGGTGACACAAACTGGTCTACCCGTGGTGGTCTACCCACTGTGGTCTACCCACTGCTGTCTACCCACTGTAGTCTCCCCATGGTCTACCCACTGTGGTCTACCCATGGTGGTCTATCCATGGTGGTCTACCCACTGTGATATACCCAACTGTGGTCTACCCGTGGTCTCCCCATGGTGGTCTACCCATGGTGATCTACCCACTGGTCTACCCATAGTGGTCTACCCACTGTGGTCTACCCCAGTGTGGTCTACCCTACTGTGGTCTACTCCACTGTGGTTTACCCATAGTCTCCCCACTGTGGTCTACCCCTCTGTGGTCTACTCCACTGTATTCTACCTCACTGTGGTCTACCCTACTGTGGTCTAACCCACTGTGGTATACCCCAATGTGGTCTCCGCACTGTGGTCTACCCCACTGTAGTCTTTCCCACTGTGGTCTACCCCACTGTGGTCTACCCTACTGTGGTCCACCCCACTGTGGTCTACCCATGGTCTCCCCACTGTGGTCTACCCATGGTCTCCCCACTGTGGTCTACCCCACTGGTCTACCCCACTGTGGTCTACCCCACTGGTCTACCCCACTGTGGTCTACCCCACTGTGGTCTCCCCATGGTGGTCTCCCCACTGTGGTCTACCCCACTGTGGTCTACCCCACTGGTCTACCCCACTGTGGTCTACCCCACTGTGGTCTACCCCACTGTTTGGGCTCCCCATGGTGGTCTCCCCACTGTGGTCTACCCCCCTGTGGTCTACCCCACTGGTCTACCCCACTGTGGTCTACCCCACTGTGGTCTACCCCACTGGTCTACCCCACTGTGGTCTACCCCACTGTGGTCTACCCCACTGTGGTCTCCCCATGGTGGTCTCCCCACTGTGGTCTACCCCACTGTGGTCTACCCCACTGTGGTCTACCCCACTGGTCTACCCCACTGTGGTCTACCCCACTGTGGTCTCCCCATGGTGGTCTCCCCACTGTGGTCTACCCCACTGTGGTCTCCCCATGGTGGTCTCCCCACTGTGGTCTACCCCACTGTGGTCTACCCCACTGGTCTACCCCACTGTGGTCTACCCCACTGTGGTCTACACATGGTGGAGCGTAGTAAAGTAACTTCAATCTTGATTTCCCCCCCTCAAGGGAGGTTCCTTGACGCTGGTGAGGGGGGCTCTTGATCCAGGGAATTGGATCTATGCTCCAGTTCCCTGAATTAAGCCTGAATACCTTCCACCCCCCACACAGGCGCTGTATAATCCTACGGGTTTAGCGCTCCCCCAGGGAGGGAATATATTTTCCCACGTCTCGCCGACAGTGGGAGCTTCGTTAAAACCTTTCGTCGCGGGCGAAACGTCGTAAGGTAGATGTTTTTACCCCATTAATGTCCCTTTACTCTCCCACTTGACAACTTAGATCAGTATCTGTTAAAAGTTTTACTTAAAAGTTAAGTGGATCAGTTATATGTTTTTATTTACACAATATTTACACGTAGTGGGATTTACACAGTAGTATTTACACGTAGTGGGATTTACACAGCAGTATTTACGTAGTGGGATTTACACAGTAGTATTTACACGTAGTGGGATTTACACAGTGTTATTTACACGTACTGGGATTTACACAGTAGTATTTACACGTAGTGGGATTTACACAGTGTTATTTACACGTAGTGGGATTTACACAGTAGTATTTACACGTAGTGGGATTTACACAGCAGTATTTACACGTAGTGGGATTTACACAGTAGTATTTACACGTAGTGGGATTTACACAGTATTTACACGTAGTGGGATTTACACAGCAGTATTTACACGTAGTGGGATTTACACAGTAGTATTTACACGTAGTGGGATTTACACAGCAGTATTTACACGTAGTGGGATTTACACATAGTATTTACACGTATGGGATTTACACAGTTTTATTTACACGTAGTGGGATTTACACATTTAGTAATTACAGTAGTGGGATTTACACAGCAGTATTTACACGTAGTGGGATTTACACAGTAGTATTTACACGTAGTGGGATTTACACAGCAGTATTTACACGTAGTGGGATTTACACAGTAGTATTTACACGTAGTGGGATTTACACAGCAGTATTTACACGTAGTGGGATTTACACAGTAGTATTTACACGTAGTGGGATTTACACAGTAGTATTTACACGTAGTGGGATTTACACCAGCAGTATTTACACGTAGGGGGGTTTTAAACTCAGTAGTATTTACACGTAGGGGGATTTACACAGCAGTATTTACACGTAGTGGGATTTACACAGTAGTTTTTTACACGTAGTGGGATTTACACAGTAGTATTTACACGTATGTGGATTTACACAGCAGTTTTTTACACGTAGTGGGATTTACACAGCAGTATTTACACTAGTGGGATTTACACCGTGTATTTCACGTAGTGGGATTTACACAGTAGTATTTTACACGTAGTGGTATTTACACAGTAGTATTTACACGTAGTGGGATTTACACAGCAGTATTTACACGTAGTGGGATTTACACAGCAATATTTACACGTAGTGGGATTTACACAGTAGTACTTACACGTAGTGGGATTTACACAGTAGTATTTACACGTAGTGGGTTTACACAGTAG